TGGGGGGGGGGGGGGGGGAGGGAAGAGGTGAGAGGACTACAAGGTTGGTGCGTCACGCACAGGGCTGGTATCTGGAGTTGCCAAGTCGTGCGATGTCTGCTTCCACAGCCACGTGCTCTGCCTCCAGAAATTGGTCCCATCACATTCCCCCCGCAGATCAAGTGAGCAGCAGACTTCCATGATCTCCCCCTCTGCATCGCTTGCCCCCTTGGTAACCCCACGCTTGTAAGGCGACACTCTGTACAGGCCCAGCGATCAAGAAGGGGTGTGATGAAAGGGTGGCCATGTGGGAACGCAGGGGGAGGGAGGAGCATCCGGTCCGCAGTCGTCCTCCACGCCGGCGGGCAGCACGGCCACGGCTCATCGACGCCCCGCGCTGGAGTGGGCCTCCCTCGCTCCTCTCCCCATCGCCGCCCCCACCCGCCGCACACGCCCCGCTCGCCCCAAACCATCCACCTTCAAACGCCCTTCTGCTTGAGGATGAGCTTGTCGCCCAGGGACAGCGCGATGCCCTGGGTCTTGGACCGGATGCGGACGAAGCCGGCGAGGCGACCGTCCGCGCCCCGCTCCAGCGCGACGTTGACCAGCGCGTCCTCGCCAAACACGGAGCGCGCGTACAGGTTTGCGGCCAGGAACCCGGCGTCGCCGCGCCGCGCGGAGGCCGGGGTCAGGCACCGCATGTTGGTGGCGGCCAACACGTGGTCCAGGTAGGCCGCCTCGTCGGTGAGGGAGGTGGCCACCGCCACCTTGTTCTCCCACTCGAACTCGGCCCACATGGCGCGGAAGGCCGCGTCGGTGCAGGCCGCCGGCACGATGTAGTCGAGGATGTCGATGTGGATGTCATTCAGCACCACCACGCTGGGGTGGGGCATGGAGTGGGTCGTGATGGTCGATGGAGGGGAAGAGGGCGCCACTGAACGCGTGGATGGAACGGCCCCTGTGGCCGGGCATCGACACCACGCGAGCCTGTACCGAAGCATCCGCCCAGGAATCCTTGCCCCAGCATCGGCCAGGAGCTCCCTCTCTCCCCCCCCAAAGCCCCTCATCTCGCCGTCTGCCCCCCAACCCCCCAACCCCCCAACCCCCCCCGCCACCCGACGCACTTGCGGTCGTTGTAACCCGTGCCCTCGAAGACCAGGTTGCCGAAGATGGCCCCCGTCTCGGTGCTGGACACCTTGATGTTGGCGCGGATGCGGCGCTGCGCCCCCGGCCCCAGCGTGTGGCTGGCCGGCCGCTCCACCAGCTTCAGGTCGCCCATGGTGGCCAGCTCCAGCGACACGTTCTGTGCAGGGGAATGTGGATGGCGTCGCCGGGAGTGCAGGGCGTTTCCACGGGTGTGGGTCGGCGGTGGGAGGCGTGGGAGGCTGGCAGGCCACGCCGCCTGCCACGCGGGCCGGCCGCGCGGGGTTCCCCTGACCCCCCTTCCCCCCCTCCTTCCCCCCCATCACCCTCACCTGGAGGGTGTCCTGGGTGCGGTTGATGACGGCCACGTCCAGGACGATGTCGT